TAATTAAAAATATTTAATTAAAATAATAATTTATATATATAATATCATAAAATAAAATGAAATAAATGAATTATCGTAATTTGGGATTTCATGAACGAATTATATGAAATACTTTACGAATGTCAAGTTTAACTAACGATTCACTCTGATGTGAATCAAGGAAGGTAATAATAAATGTATACTATATATGTACATATATATCTGTATTTTGTTTGACGTATTACGACTTAATGAAAATTCAAGGCGAGACTACAATTCGCACGAGAAGAAACGTGCGTATGTATCATGCTCTCGTTTACAAACACATTTCAACGATCATGTAATCTTGTTAATAAAAACATACGTGCACGTAACCACGTGAGTATTGTTATAACTAAATAAATAAAATTATCAATAATAAAGTTTATAATTTTGCAAGTATATATATGTATGTGTATGAATATGTCAATAAAAAAAAATCATTAATTTTACAACGTATAGTTCATTCATTTCTTCAATATTTTTAAACAATATTGCACGTTTATTCTATCATCTCGTAAACAAATAACAATTAAATAAATTATTATATAATATATAATATTATTTTATTTAAATTATTTAAATATTAAGTTGAATATTGTAAAACTGAATAAATACGAAATGAATGAACGATAATGTTGATGAATTATTAAATTATTCACACAATTGACGATATAAAATAAATAAATAAATAATAATATATTAATAATAAATTTTGTGTGTGTGTGTATGTTCTTTCGCGACAAAATACGAGAATGGAAAAAGCAATGTAGTCATACGAATATAACGAAACGTTAATACTATTAATATTAGCGATTGTTACCCCCTGAATAATCGTAATCGTAAAACAATACGTAAGGTTATCGGGGCTATTAACGCTTCACTTAGAACAACTACTGCAACGGAGAATAAGTTTTACAAAAAAAAGAAAAAGAATAACAAAAAGAAATGTGAGAGAGAGAGAGAGAGAGAGAAATAAAACATTGGCGAAGTATTTTTTTTTGAATAGTCGAGCTCGAAGAAGAATTTCGATAAGATAAAATCTGAAAGAAATAAGAAGAAAAAACAGAACAAGTAAAATAATAATAAAAATTAAGAGACGACGAATGATTAATTATACGTTGAAAATCTTTATCTAACGAATTGTTCATCGGAAAATTGGAAATATTAATAATTTCAAGTTAAGAGGAATAAAGAACTTAAAAAATTCAAATAAATTAACAACGTTGTTTAGTTTAAAAAACGACTTTGCAGATTTCTTATTATAAATTTATGTTATCGTGTCGTGAATGGATTAAAATGTAAAACCAAAATACACACACGCATACACAAACAATAATAATAATAATAATAATAACGATGTGAAACTTTTGTTTTATATACTTGACATTACTTTATAAAAAAAAAAAAAGAAATAAATTGTCGAATTAATAATATCGCCAATAATAAACAATGAAATTATATCTTACAACAATTATTATATTCCCATGAAACTTAATTAACTTAATTTAACACCGAACACTGACGCAATCCCTGTTCGAGACATTAGATAAACTAATAAAAATAACACAATATAAAATATCGTAACTGTAGCTACAAACAAACAAACAAACTTCACACACACACACACAGAAACACACACACATATCACCACTCGTGGTCTTCTTCTATCCGAGCAATGTTGTTACGCAAAAAGGAAAAAAACCCGGAAGAAAATTCGAGAGAGTATTTAAGCAACTAACGTTGGTAAATCCTCCTACTAATTTTCCTATCTATCTATCTATGTTTATGCACACACACACACACACACATGTTAAAATATATATAATTATTTTCTAAAAATGATTTGCCCTTTCGATCGAGAAGAAGGAAGAGGAATAACACTACGAGCGCACCTGTCGAATGTGCAATGGCACTCTGCCGTAGTTTAAAGTGTCTCCTCTCTCACAATCAGAAAGAGAAAGAACGATATAAGATATAACACACGAACTAATATAACTAACGAACGAACGAACGAACGAACGAAGAGTAGTAGGAGACAAAAGTAGAGAAGAAGATCCTCCTCTCTCTCTCTTCTTTTCTCTTACTTCTCCTCGTTGGCTGATTGTGAGACGCAAATAGAATCTTTCTTCGGGCTCGCGAAGTGCTACGTACGAGACACACACATAATACTCGACGAAATGTGATGATGATGATGAGGAAAGCTCTGCTCTCTCTCTCTCTCTGTTTGGCGATTCACCTAATGCAAAATGCCAACACGAATTTTATACGGAATTGAAAGATCGAGATGAAGAGAATTTTTTGATATTATTATAATATTACTAATGATAATATAAGTTATATATAACACACACACACACACACATGAAATATTAAGTAAATTGAAATATCTCGTATATTCGAGAGAATAATATGGAAAAAGGGAGATTATAAAAGCAAGGTTAAAGAGCAAACACCCGGGGGAGGGAGGAGAAGAGAAAGAGATTTTCTCTTTCGGTGTCAAGGCATTTCAAACAAAAATTGCATTATCTTTGGCCGCAACTGAAGTGCATCGTCATCATCACGACCTTCGGAGGAGGTTCATGGTGAAATTATTCATTCATAGGACGGGGGAGATGGATGGAATACAACATTTGGAGATTTCGATGAAATATTTTTTTAGTAACGCAGATTATAATAATGATAATTATTTAATTACAGATCAAATAAAGGTTATGTTAAATATTATATTTGGTTATATTTTCATATATTATTTTCATGCATTGCATGATTATCCGTGAAAATATTAGAAGCTGCTAAACTGAAAAAAATCTGGGGAGACCGGTGGGGATTTGAACCCAGGAATTTTTCTCTTTCACTTTCCGGGGGCAACTGCTCTACTCATTGCGCTATCGATGACCGCTGGTCAATTATTTCACGACAAGCTATTTAAGTATTTGGCATGGAAATATTCAATTCCAAATTATTTATATAATCATTAATATATTATATTATTTTATTTCAATTTGTCTGTGTGGAATAATTTTATAATATAATAATCATTAATATATTATATTATTTTATCTAAATTTGTCTGGAATAATTTTACAAACGGAGGTCTTATATAAACACATAAGTAAATAAATAAATAAATATTATTATTATTATTATTATTATTATTATTAATAATAAATATTTTTTTTATTCTATCGGAATAAAAGAAAAGATGGTCGACAGATGGAAAGAAAAATCAACCGATGTATTTTTACCCTCCCACCTTTTCGTTTCCGCCTCACCCCTCCCCCAATCGAGACTTCGAACTTTCATTGGCGTATATTTAGAAACTTGATCGTATACAGGGTCGATTTAAGAAAGAGAAATAAGAGGAAGAAGAAGACAAATTACCGTCATACTATGTCCGTTCAATTTTCCCGACTCGAAGATACTCGAATTTCCTTCCATCGTAGGCGCTAAGATCATTTTTCCTTTTTCTGAGTTGGATAATACGTATTTAAAATCAAAAGACAAGAAGGAGATCACCTTTGATTGATTGATTGGTTGCTTGATTGTTTGCTTTTATTTTCCTTCACATTGAAAATGTTTTTCCAATGTTCTTCTATTTCGTCAGACTTATTTTTGGTATCTCGTAAAATCACCAACTTTAAGAAAATTTCATTGCCGAACAAAATTGAACTAATACCGAAATACGATTAGAGTGCAAAATAAAGTTATTTCCTTATGGGTAATTTAAGTTTTTTTTTTTTTTTTTCACGACGAGAATTCTCGAGTAATTCGATAAATTCAGCGAGCGGGGGAAGAAATAAAAATACGCCGAGTTTATCGGATAGATTGTAAATAAAAGAAATAAACAAATATAAAAACAAAAACATTTAATAAAAGAACAATCGAGAAGAAATCGTAGTACTTGTCATCCGATCTGGACCCACGTCACCGTCACCGTCACCGTCACCGTCACCGTCACACTTTCGATCACGTTGAAATTTTTCTTATACCCCGGTATTGCCAAGAGTTCGTTGAACGTTCAACACAACAATCGTTCGCGATCATCAACAAAAAAATAAATTCATCAAAATCTAATAAAAAATCTTACGATCATTCCATCAAATAGATTCATCGTCACCGAGATGAATGAACAATTAATCCAATCGACGAAATATTTTCATCTGTTAATTATTTAACGAATAATATTTCATATTACAAAATATTAAAACCCACCCACCACCACCACAACTATCATCGTCATCGTCATCATTATAATCATCAGAAAAAGTAAATGGATATAATTATGAATAAAGTTAACGACAATTAGGATTTTCAAATGAGACAAAATACAAAACAAAATTAATAAAAAGTATTGCAATTTTTGGGGCTGAGGAGGAGGAGGTGGGAAAAGTGGGTGGGAAATGGGGAAAGCACGTAACATTCGCGAACGAGAATACAGAAAAGGGGCCAGCACGACCGGCCGGTTCACGCATACTGACTTCTGACTGGTCGAACTAGTAGGTGACTCGAAAAGCCCCTTCCATATCGCATAGCAACCGCACGTAAGCCTCGCGACTGATAACCGCTTGCACTTACTCGACCGGAGTCAGCGAATCTGTTGAGACGTGTAATATCTTTCCTTCGGATACCTAATTCATCTTCAAAGATGTTCGATTAACAAATAAAAACAAACAAACGAGAAATGAGGAGGAGTAGAAGTAAATTAGGAGAGGGAACACGAACCGACAAAATTTTGTTCACGCTTAACAAATGTGTCAAACTTAAGACAAATATTTTATATTTTTTTTTCAACTCAACTTCAAACTATCGTACTAATTAATTAAGATGAATCAAAAGTTCGTGATATTATTGACTATTGAAATTTTTTAATATTTTTAAACTGCACGCGATGGAAATTGGTTTTTGTTTTTCTTTTCTAAATTTTCTTTTCGTCAAATATATTTACGAAATATTAGAACACAACAAAAAGTTCCTGAGGTTTGTTTTTAATATTTTTGCCGAAGTAAATGATTACGGAATAAGAAAAAATTAAAAAATGAACGATCCGTTGTTACCACTGTTACAAAATTAAAAGTTTCGAAACGATGAACGAACGAATTTGTTTTTTTTTTATCGTAATAGTTAACAAAGGAATAATTCTGACGATACCACGCGGGGGAGACTGACTATATATGTTGCTGAACTTACGCGAGATGGGTTGGTTCGTGACGATTGACCATAATTCACAATTAACCTTAACCAAGTCATTGTTCTGTTCGAAATACTTTCGTATAAAATTGTTACCCTCCCTTGTTTTCTTTTTTTTTTCTTTTCTCTCTCTTGCGCGCGTGCGTTAAGAGAAATTCTTTTTTATTCTTTTATTTTTATATTTTTATTTTTATTTTATTTTTATTTTTCTCGATAGAGATAGATGTATGTATCGAATGTATCAGAGTCAACGTGTGAGTATTGATAAATACTATGATTCAAGAGGGGACAGGAGGGGGGGGACTATTTAAATTCGATACTATCGAGTATTGAAGAACTTTAATTGACACAAACGATGAATGAAATATTAATACATTGACGACACAACTATTAAACATTAAATTGACACACTAGTGTGACCAATGACGTCACTAATCTATACGTTTCATACTCGAATATTTTTATTATATATATATAATATATTTATTATTATTATTATTATTTTGTACAGATATATCACGCGAAGTGGACACGAAAATAATTTGAAAACTTTTACGCATGCATACATGTATTTA